GGCACCTCCCTTGGAGGATTGATCAGCGTTGAGGAGATCCCCCTCAGTCTTCTCCTCTCCAGACTGAACAGCCCCACGTCCCTCAGCCTTTCCTCAGCAGAGAGATGCTCCAGTCCCCTCAGCATCTTAAGGCATCTTAAGCCAACATGCTGCAAACCCACCCTACAAACACATAAGCACAGGCAAAACCTGCCTCCCAGGCGGAGCGCTCGCTTTGCAGCCACCCCCGCCACGAGCCGCTGGTTTCCCTCTTGGTGCTCAAAACCGGCCGGGAGGTTCCCAGAGGCTGGAGCATCCAGCAGACGCACCATGAGCAACCACTTAAACTTTGCAGGCGTGCGAAGAGGCAGGCTGAGCCCACGGCCCCCCTCATGGCAGGTCAGCCCCCCCCGGCCGTGCACTTGCCCGGCTACTGAGCATTGGCTCTGGGCAAGCGAACACCAAGCCTTGGCCAAACATGCTTCCGAGGAGAGACAGGAAAAATAACTACGGGTGGGAACCACCCCCTCACAGGCACGCTGCCGGTGCCCAGGCAGGAGCAAAGCCCCTCTGCGATGCTCGGGGGGGTCAAGCGCTGCCCCCCAGCACGCAGCCCCCCCCCAGGAGCCCCTACCTCTCTCCAGGAGGACGTGTACCAGTCCAGGCATGGCGTGCTCTGGCAGGGCAGCTGTGCCGGCGGTTTGTAGAGGACAGCCTGGCAGTGGAAGGGCCGTAGGAGCCTCTGGTCCCTGGTGTCAATGCAATGCACGTCCCGAACCTTCATCCCCCCACCACAGCTCCTGGAGCACTGGGAAACGACAGGAGCATCACGCCAGGGAAGGGCGGCAGGGGGAACCGCTCCGGCAGAGGGAGGTGACCCTCGAGACACGCTCTGCCTGGGGTTGGATTGAGTTGACACTCAACCTCTTTTCTCCTCTCTCTCTAGTCCAAGCTGGAGAAAAGCCCATGCAGCTCTGAATCTGTCATTACCATCCCCTTGAAAGCAATCAGCTTCCAGTTGCAACCACAACGACGTCTTGCCTTACAGCACAGCCAAGAAGCGGCGCCCACCCAGAGCAGGGAGGGTCGTGCCCCACCACTGGACCTACTGGATTCACCCAACCCAACTGCAGACACCGCCTGCTAGCGCAGCTCAGCAAGAATATTTTCCAGAGACTTTCAAACGGCTCTCCATTTAGCTTTTGCAAATTCCTGGCTTTTTAACCAGCCCAAGAGCAGGAAAAATGAGAAGATTATTGTGGGATGGAGTAGCTTAACCCTTGTGGCAAGTGCAAGTTTTTACCCCCTGCCTCCGTCAGCCATGGGGCGAGAGCACGCGCCGAGGGCAGGCACCGCTGCAGCCGAGGGCGGGCACTGCTCCCGCCGAGGGCAGGCACCACCCGCCTTCCTTCTTCTGTGGATTTTTTCGGCACCCTCCCCACCAGCCGCACGCCTGTTTACCTTACTCCAGTTCCCCACGCGCCACGACGAACACGGTCTCAGGGAACACCTCCGAGCAGGGACGGGTTTGTTGGCCGCGGCGCAGCCGTCGTTGCTGGCGGAGCTGCAGGTATCGCGCCCACGCCGCAGGTGGCCGAGCACTGCAACACAGGAGGCAGACGCCTGCTCCTCTGCGCTCCCGCCGGCCCCAGCGGGGCTGCACCATCACGCCCCTGATGCCCCGCGGCTGGCTCTGGCCAAGGACGGAGCCCGGTGGCCCAGCAGAAAGGTCTGTGGGGACTGGGCTCATCGCCCCCTCCGTGGGCATCGGGAGGGCTGCCAGCAAAACCGGCGTGTGTGGAGGCAGAGTTGTGGGATGATGCGGAGAGAGGAGCTTTGCTGGAGGCTGTGCCCAGCGCTGCCTGGCAGGGGACCCGGCCCCATAGCGAGAGGCTCCTCTCTAACCGGTCCCACATCACGCAGCCCTCGGTTTGGGGGAAGAAGGCGGAAAACCCTCCTCTCTCACCCATTTCGGTTGTTTCTGGTCTGGCTGCGACTGTCCTTTCTCTCCCTGTTCAGGTTTTGGCTTCCAGGAGGACTCTCACGCCACAACCCTGGCCCCCAGCGGCGATGCCCATCGCCCCACACCAGTGTTCCGGCCACGGCCGCCCACAGCTCAGTGGGAAACGGGACAGCACCGGGATCTCTGCGGCTGGGGGCGGCTCTAGCTTTTTTGTTGCTAGGTGTCCATTAATTGGCTTCAACCATTTGACTGCTGTCTCAGAAAGCTCTGTTTCATGCTCTTCTTTCACCAGCGCTGCCCCTCTGGGTTAAAAGCTCCCATAAAGATATCCCTCCACCTGAAAGGCAGTGACTCCATCCCCTCTTTCGGATCCACCTCTCGCTGGCCAAACCGATCTGATTTATTTCGTAGCAGCCTTTCCATCTCAAAAGCCTTTGCCGGGTGTTCAAAACAACCTGCGTGCCCCCGTGTCACAGCACTGCCCCCAGTCCCATCCCCGCGGCAGAGCTCCCTCCAATGCTGCGGCTCAAGCCACGTTCAATGCCTTTTTAAAAAAACCACATGTGGGACTGTATTTTTGCTGATATTAAGTATCGCCCTGACCATTATTGGGTCCTTTGTGCACTTTCTTAAAAGCCTCCCCCAGCGCTCAGTCTGCGGTGCTCCACCACACCGAAGGCTTGTTATTTTTGTGCCTTCTGATAAAAACCCATTACCGCAAGTTGCAGCAGCCCTTTGTCCGTCACTGCAAATGCGATGCGGAGAGCAGCCCCGGGACAGCTGGGCAGGAAGACCACTGCTGGTGATTGCTGATAATCCCCCATTCGCCACGCTCAGCACAGCCCTGTCCTTTGAGCGATTTGCCACCTTGGTGTGCCTCGCTCTTGGTCTTCCAATTTGTGTCTTTTTGTAGGATATTTTAAGATACCTCCTCCTATACACTGGCAGGAAGCTGCTCCTGGGCCAGGGGGTCTCCCCGGGTGCTCAGCCCCAGGACGGGGGCTCTGTGCACGTCTGCCCCTCCAGAGCGGGCAGGGATTGGGGTGGGGAGCGAGGTGCCACCAGGGCTGGTGCCCAAGGGAGCGGGGCAGGACGGAGCGCGCATGAGCCATGCACATTTTTTGCGTTTTTGCAATTCTGCAATGCCCCACAGACCAGCCAGGAGAGGGACAGCACTCTCACCTCCGTACCGGCCACGTCACGCTTTTAATGGGACTCCACACTTACCTCGCTCCAGTTCCCGACCTCCCAGCTGGGCATCGCAGTGGCTGCCACGGTGGTGGATGCTGGAAGCAAAGCCTCCTCCTTCTCCCTCTCGTCCTCCTCCCAGAGCGGCAGTGGGGCAGGGGTGGGCTGGGATAACTCATGCTCCCCATCACCGAAAGCAAATGTCCCTGGGGTTGCCCATGGCGAGTGCTCCCCTGGCACGGCACTGCTGACCAGGGCCCAGCGGGAGGTCGGCTGCACACGGGGCGACATTGGCTCCGGGTGGAGGGACACCCCCCAGGTCCACCATGCCGGGGGGGACTCGGAGGACGATGCTCCCGCTGTGTGCATGGGAGCGCTGTGAGCCGGAGCTGTGGGCACGGCTGGTGCCAGGGCATCTTGCTCGGTGAGGCCACTGGAGGCGAGCTGGGTGGCCGGCCCGGGCACGGTAGGGGA